TTGTAGGCGAAAAACTGTTTCGCGAACCAGGCAACGTAGAAGGCTGAAACTTTGCAGGGGCATTCTTTATGCAAGTACGAGACAAAGGTTTTAAACTCAGCCCTCTAACTCCCCAATCATAACCTCAAGCAGCTCCTGAACTCAAAGACCGTTAGCAACTCGGACCTGAACCGCAATTGCATGTGCAAGTGAACGTGCATTTTTAGCAACTTGGACCTGAACCACAATTGAACATGCAAATCAATGTGGATTTTTTGAAAAACGACCGTTCGAACAATAATTTCCGTTTTTGAATGAACTGAAAATTTGCATAGTTTCAAAAATTCTTTCGCAGCTCAGATCTTAACCGCAATCGTATATGTAAATGCACACAGATTTTTTGCAAACGACCGCTCGAGAAATACTTCTACTTCTTAGTGAATTGAAAATTTGCATTTCAAAAAATTTGCATTTGTCATTTTTCACAGAGCGAGCATCTACCGAAAAAACGAGCGGACTTCAGGCAAAAAACCGCTAATCATTGGCGACGCGCACTGGGGGACCCCGTGCGACCATGCGTTTTTGCAGTGTTTCGTGCTGTAATAAGATTACTCGAAATATCGCTAGCTAGAAACCTCTTGTACATACTGGTCCCCGAATTTCGGGAACTTAATTATCCACGGTATAGTTGAACAGGGAACATTCCCTTGAAATCCCAGGTTCCCAGCTTCCTCAGTTCTCGAGTTACCGAAATTGCAGCTAAAAAATTTCACGAGGCCGTGCGTAGCCACCACGCATAACGGAGCCTGAATTTGATAAATTGAAGTTGAAGATGAGCTGGGAACATTTCCTGAAAATTTCAGCCCTCCAGATTCCCTGGTTCTGGAGTTATTCATTTTCCCGCCAAAAATTTTCACGGGGCCGTACGTGGCAATCAAGCATGACGGGGAGCTGAATTTGGTAAATTGAAGTTGTAGATGAGTTGGGAACATTTCCTGAAAATTTCAGCCTCCCAGCTTTCTTGGTTCCCGAGCTAGCGGTTTTCGCGCCAAGAACCTTGGGGGGGGGGCCGTACGCGGGAACCACGAACCCCGGGGGGCTGAATTTGAAATCTTTGAGTTCTACTTGGACTGGAAACATAATCCCAAAATTTCAG